CTGAGCCTCATCTCCTATATTTGTCAGGCAGTGTACTGTTTCCATGAAAATTATCTCACTTTTTCTTCACAACTATCCTGCAAGCTACTTATTATTATCCTCCTTAATTTATACTGTGATAACTGAAATCTTTAGAGCTTGAACTAAAGCCATTCTTCAAAGACTAAATTATTTTCTCCCTACTACAAAAAATAAAATAAATAAATGAATAAAACCCTCTAAAGCAAGTTTTTCATTTCCCAAACTGTTACAGAAATGCAGAAAGAGGATGGGAGCCAAAAGAGTTTTTTGACGCAGTAGCAGCCACTTGATTGGAGGAGGGGAAAATGTATTCCCTTTGAAGCAGGATTTGGGGCCAATATAATAGAACAGGTTAGAGAATATTAGAATTCTTAAAGCAATCTCTTACACATAGCACTGAAAGGTCAACTGTGGGCTTTCATGCAAAGAATATGAATTCAATCCTCAAAGCTCTGAGCTGGTATTACCATTAAGGAGCTATGGAAAACAGCAATTGGTTTCTGCCTCTTTCTTTTTCATAATCAGGACACATATTCACAGCCAATGGAACGAGACTACTATCCTGTATTTTCTTAGCGCTCATCTCTCAGCTTCATTATAGATTTTTAAAATTATAACTAGTCCTGTTCCTTTCTCTGGGATTAAGGGTTCCGTATCATCCCGAATCCACACATGAGTTAGCTGACACAGCCTGGACTTCTGTGACATCTGAATAAAGGCTAAGTAACTGGAGCGGCCATGAGCATGTTGATCAATGGCTCTGAAGTCAGGCAGATCTGAGCTTGAATCCAGGCTCTTCAACGTTTAGTGAGTTTCTAAATGTGTTTGTGCCTTGCCTTCCATATCTTTAAATGGGATAGTAATAGAACATGCTTCATAGGGTTATTGTGAAGATTGAGTTAACAATTGTGAAGTGCTTGGCACATTTCTGGTTTACAGTGCAAACTCAATGGGGGTTAGTGTGTAATAATCATTATAATAATAAAAATAATTTGGTAGCAAACATCTATTTTTCTAATTAAAGGCATTACTCTAGACAGAATACTTGCTACTTTACAGACATGCCTGTTATATATAAATATAAATTACTTCGTGTGAAAAAGTACATGTTCTCTCCTCACACCCAAAACATTAATTATAAAAAGTAATTAATTACTATAGAATTCTTACTGAACCACAACATAAAATGCCCATTGTCATCACCTAATGTTTTAAAAATGACTTTTGTTAAGATAAATGTGGTATTCAATTAGCAATTCATTTTCAACCTTTTAATGAATCATTGAGAATGGTTAACAAGAATGTTTCTTTTATTTCACAATTTTCCTTCCCTCATATATGAGCTTCCAAAACCTCCTTCTCTGGACAAACTCTAGAGATGTAAATTTTAATAACTGGCAAATTAATGAAGGAATTATATGTGAAATCCTGTATGTCTATTTTATTAATGTTTTTAATTTTTTAAATTTACTGATACTAAGAATATGTAGGTATTTTTACTACTTTCATATCTACTATGTACTCTATATATATATAGATTGTATAATTATTTCAGAAACTGAATGCCATCTTGATTTACCTCCAGGGCTATTTGATTAGCAAAAGTATCCTGCCATTCCACAAAAGGCCAAGAAACAATATGTGCTTACAGTGTATCTAATGGTATGAGATAGAAAAAGAGAGGCAGAGAGAGAAAGACACACACACAAACACACACAGAAACACTGACTTCTTCCTTTAATTATTCTTAACTAATCTGAACTGGGTAACCTTCTATAGCAAGTTGTGATTATCACTTTATCACAATGTATGGTTTTTACCTCTTTACATGCAAATCTTACCCTCACCTACTAGACTATAAACTTCTGAAGGTAAGAACCAGTAAGAAATTGACTTTCGAAGTTGTTCAAGAAGAGATTCTTGAATGTATGAATACTTAATAGTTAGATGGATGAATGTATGGTTTGATGGGTAGATTCAATGGATGAGGCATTATGATACAATGAAAAGCATGCCCCCATTTTGCCATTACCTAGTCCTCAGATTTTATACAAATCATAAAATTAGTAAACATTAGTTGTCTCTTCTGCAGAATGGTAAGTTTGGGTTATGTGATACTTTTCCTACTAGTCTAAGACCTTATTCTTCAGTTTCCCGGTGCATATAGCTGGACTCATTAAGCTCCGTTTCAGAAGATAATTCAGTTTTACACTTTAGCATAGGCCTTGCTCATGCTGAGTAATATCAAGGACCTCTGGGTTAGGGTTCTTTTACTAAAAGTTAGTCCTCATTACTTAAACAGCTCTAACCTCAGTTTTTAAGTTCTGTCAAAGATTCTTAAAGAAACTTTTCTTTTTTTCTCTTTGAGTCTCTTGATTTTACCCACATTTTGGCTTTTATCTTCATCTGCCTGAGATTTCTACCTTTACACTTCAGTTTATGTTTGTATGTTTTGCTGATGGCATTGATACCCCACCTTCCCCATTCTTCCTGTCTTAATAAGAGGAGCAGAATATACACTGAGACTGTCATGAGAACCTTAGAGGGAAAGGGGATGGGATATATACATCATTTCCTGGAAAGAAAAATGAAGCCAGTAATGTGATATGTAATTTAGTTTGACGACTTTGTAAAATGTGAGCATTCAGGATATGATGGTATAATATCTGACTTAAATTTGGGTAAAGCTCTCTTAAAATTATAAAATTTTGAATCAAAAGACAGGTAATATGATAATTTAAAAATGTTTTAGAAATATAGGGTATTTAGATGAAGGAACCAGAGTAACTAGAGAAGCCTCACTCCTGCCCATTGAACTATTGTTATAAAATCTCTTACATGACCTAAAATAATACAAAAATACATTTTTAGCCACAAATTCACCCTGAATTCCCTGTTATCACCCTCTCCAAGTTCATGAGGCTGAGGTCGTTTTGAGTACCAAGGCAAAGTTGACCAATGTCCAAGGCAACATGGTCAATTTTCTAAGGCCATTGTGCCAGTTTTATAATAAAGTAAGAACTATGATTGAATTAAAATAATCCCTAGTTTCCATCTAGTTCCTGAAATCTTTCTAACAAAAAACATGGCGGAGAAGTACCTAGTGAGAAAGACTGGATGACAAATAATGATTTCTCCTGATTATAAGCCTACTAAACCAAGAGATTTGGCATTATCTCATTGTCATGCTCCTGTCTCATTTCTCAAAAGTGACTACATCAGCAAGTCATTGTCTAAGTTCTTTGAGCAACTGGGTTTTTATCCTGAAATCAGAGTTTACATACTCATTACTGGATATATCCTGTCCAGTAGCTCTGATATCCTCCATTACCCTAGATGTAACCAAATTCTTACTTCAATTTTCTTGGATAGGCATTCAGGTATTTGGTCTTGTTGTGCTGTTTGTTAATGGTACTCATGCCCTTCTTGCTTTTTGCCATGTGTTTTGCCTTTCTTTATTTGGACTTAAATCATTATGTTCTCATATCTGAATTAATTGTCCCATCATTTCACCCTAGTCTATGCCTAAATTCTTTCTGCCACCTTTCTTGTCTGGTGTGTGGTGTGCCTGTGATGTAGGTGCATGGACTGATTTCTTTCTATTGAGGGTAGTCATTTTGAAGAAACAAAGATAAAATCAATTCATTCTTTAGCTTGTTCATCCATTCTTCATACATATTTATTTGGTATCCTCTATATGTCAGTCACTGTTTTATTTGGTATTAGAATAATAAAGAAGAACTTGTAGAATGGTATCAGGCATGAATACAAAAAACACAATTATCCATTCATTTATGTGATGCATATTAAATAGGCACCTATTCTGGACTAGACAATATGTTGTTTAGCATTGTGGACAAAAAAATGAATAAAATGGTTTCTTCCCTCAGAGGATTTGTGGGAGCAAGAGACATGAAAATATTAATAGATAATGCCATGTGCTATATCTGGTGATAGAATTAAAGAGAAAAATGTAAAAGCAGGATTTGATAAGAGATGATGCTAAGGTAAGAAGAAGCTTTTATGGTATATTAAGAAAGTTGGCTTTAAAAAAAGATGGTAAGTCATGGCTGTTTACTAATAAGGGAGCGAGGCACAGGTTATTTGAATTCAAATTCCCCCTCTATTCTGTGACCATGAATGTGTGACCTCTTTAAGGATTGGTTGATGCACCTACAAAATGCAGATAAAAATAGAACCTAACTCATATGGTTGTTGTGAGGGATGAATGAGATAATTCACATACCTGGTACGTAGTTTATACTAAATAAGAATTTGTCACTGTTATTCTATAGGCAGTGACAGAATTCAAGATGATTTTAAGCAGAGAAATGATATAGCCAAATCTATTTGAGATAGAGCATCCTAAAAACTGTAAAGAACAGTTTTGAAGAACACAAGATAAACTCACTGGCAATGTCTAGCAGAGACTGATGCTCATAGAAGAGACTTAGGCTGGTTTTGGAGTTTATGAATATCCTGGGCTGTAGCTATAGTGGGAATGGGGGAATGGGGGCACCCCTGGGAGAGGGTATGGAGTGGATAGATTGGTTAGCCAAAGATGGAATTGCATGGAACACAAAAAGTTAAGGGTTAAAATCAGACAAAGAAAAGCCTATGAAGGAGATAAAGTAAGAATGTCCGGTGATGTCCTTGGTAATAGGCAGAACCACAACCTGGAAATGGGTGGCAAGAGGAAGGATGAGGAAGGATCACGCTGTGGCAGAGGGATACTCTGGGAGAAGTCATGTTCTCAACATGTGTTGATTGATAAATTAAGGATGATGCTAAACTCAATGTTACTTTCACAGTGCCATGAATTTCCAGGAAATAATGAGCTTCACCATATCCTTTTAGTCACAGTAAAATTAAATACTAAGTTGATTAATATATTATATTAGTAATATCTTATTAATATAAGATCTGGTCATGCTATTAGACAGAAATATAACAAACATTTTTTTTGCCTTTTTTTAAAGGATTTTGCAGAAAAGGAGAAATCTACAGCAAAGGCCCTGGAAGACGTAAAGGCAAACTTTTATTGTGAATTATGTGACAAGCAGTATCACAAACACCAGGAGTTTGACAATCATATTAATTCTTATGATCATGCTCATAAGCAGGTAAGCCAAAATGAGAGAAGTCCTCCATATTCCTGTATGTATACCTTCAGAACAGAACTGCATAAATTTGACCTTGTTTATTGCCATCTAAGACTCTAAGGTGAGATCATTTTATGTTTTATTTATCTCCCTGAAAGGTTGTGCTTCCTGTTTAAATGTTAGGCAAAATAATTTTCTTCTAGCAGTACCATAAAACTTGAGTTGGACTTATAGATGATCTAAGAGTAGACTGACTTATTTATTTTAGAATTACATACAATTGACCCTTGACCAACATGGAGGTTAGGGGTGCCCCCCCACCCTGTATAGTAAAAAATCTGTGTATAACTTTTGACTTCCTCAAAACGTGACTACTAAAAGCCTTCTGACCAGTGACATTACTGATAACATAAACTGAGAATGAACACATAATTTGTATGGAATAAATATATTGTATACTGTATTTTTACAATAAAAGTAAGCTAGACAAAAGAAATGTTACTTAGAAAATCATAAGGAAGAGAAAATATATTTGCTATTCATTAAGTGGAAGTGGATCATCATAAAGTTATTTGTCATTATTGTCTTCACATTGAGTAGGATAAGAAAGAGGAGAAAGAAGAGGTGTTGGTCTTGCTGTCTCATGGGTGCAAAAGAAGAAAATTCACATATAAGTGGACTCGTGCAGTTCGAACATGTATTGCTCAAGGGTCTACTACGTACGGGGAAACTAGAACCCAGTAAAAACAGTGTCATAGTCAAAATCACCTAACTAGTTAGTGGCAGAACTAGAATGCTGGACTAGTACTAAAACAAAATCTATTACAGAATCTGTTATAACCTACTTCTTTCAAGGATTCCAAGGTATAGGAAATGCTATGTCTTTGGGAAAGTGATTCTCACTAAAAGACAATATTTTCCTAAGAATACACTCTTAAGAGTGTCAGAGTTGAAACTTTAATAAATGAACCATTGCAAATAAGCATAGAACAAATTCAAAAAGGTGAAGTCTAGCAGTAATAGCAGGTGAAAACACTTCAGTTTATTTTCTCAAAACATCATATGTGTTTCTGTAAATGTAAGTAAAGTACACATGGCTGTTAATATTCTCTACTTCCATTTGTCTGTGAAAGAAGAGGCTATTGTTTTCATTCTGTTAGGTTTTATCTTTGCCAGTTGAGAAATAGAGATACTGGCAATTCAGGAATTAAGATACTGAAATACCACTGACTGAGAAAGAAATTCCACATGGTCAGTGGATTATTGTTAACAGATGTGAGAAGTTACACATTTCTGGCAACAAATAGTCCTGATATATTGGAATCTATGGGAAAGTGTTGTATAGTCTATGTCTAAAATATTTATTAAGAGTGAAGAAAAAGGAATATTTTGTCATATATCAGTAATATCTATTGAGTGCATACTAAATATATATCCTTGGGAAATGCAAAGCTGATGAAGACACAGTTTCTATCCTTAAAGATAAGACATATCTATCTATCTAACTATCTACAGATTTACATATATATATATTTGTCTATATTTCTCTGACAAAGCAAGATAATGAGATAAATTGCTTTAGGACTGTGATTCCCAACTTTTAGTGTACTTAATAATCATCTCAGAGCTTGTTAATAATTCAGATTCCCAGAATCTCCCTCAGATATTCTAATTTAATAATTCTAAAATAGCGACCAGGAGCCTGTATTTTAACATGATTTTAAAATTGAAAATTTTCAAACATACATAAAAATGAACCCTTTAGTTCATTAAATATGAAATGTCCGATTTTGAATCAAAACTTTATTATATCTCAAGCAAGAAGCAGTACAATTAATCAAAGTATGCACCTAACCTATTGACGCATTTTGCCATCTTAATGGTAGCTTGCTTATGCCAGCACTGAAGAAGCCTGGAGAGTGGATAACGATCACGAAAGGTATTTTCCACAGCTTGTTGAGAATGGAATATTTTTTCTTGTAAGAAGTGGTCCAAAGCCTGGAAGAAGTGGCAGTTAATTGGTGCAAGGTCTGGTGAATATGGTGGATGACAAGAGAGTCTCCAAGTCCAGACACTCTAGTTTGAGCAGCATTGTTTGTGCGACATGTGGACAAAAATTTTATTACAAGACGATTAATCTATCTCTATTGACTGATCTCAGCTGCTTCATTGCAAGCATCCTCATCATTTCATCCAGTTGGTTACAATAGGTAACCACTGTAATTGATTGACCAGTTTTCATGAGGCTGTAGGGGATAATACCAGTGCTGGACCACCAAACAGATACCATTACCTTTTTTTGATGAATATTCAGTTTTGGACTATTTTGGCACTTCATCTTTATACAACCATTGTGCCAAAACCCTTGCAATTGTAAAAAAAATATCCATTTTCCATCACACATAACAATATGGTGTAGAAATGGTTTGCGTTTATGTCATGACAGCAAAGAAAGGCAACATCGAGATGATTTCTCTTCTGATGCTCGTTTCATGTGGAACCCATCTATCTAGTTTCTTTACCTTACTGATTTGTTTCAAATGTCCAATATTGTTGAAATAATGACATCAAACCTTGTTGCTAATTCATGCATAGGTTGAGATAGATTCATTTTTACTACAGCTTTCAGCTCATCATTTTCCACCAGGTGGTTCATTTTCAAGATTAAAATTATCATAATGAATTTCTCAAACTGCCGACATACTGTGTCCATTAGCTGTATCCTTCCTAAAAACTTCGTTGCTATTTCAAGCTGTCTGTGCAGCATTGGTTCCATGACTGAACTTATATTCAAAAATAACATGAATTTTTGACTTATCCATGTCTTCACAAAAATTGCTCTAAAATTTTTTTGAAAGATAATCACAAGCCAAACCATGTGTTTGATAGAATGTACCTTTGCAATAAAAATAAAACAAAAAGTGTCAAAGTGAGATATCAGAGATATCAACTGTCAAACTTAGTACTTGAGGAAGTCGGCCCTTTCATACTTAATAACCTAAATATGTGGCTATCACCACCACTTACTCACACCTCTGCCACTGCTACATTATTTTGAAGCAAATTCCAGATATATCATTTCATCTAAAAAGTATTTCAAGATGTATAATGATGCTTTAAAATCGGTGCTTTAACCATTACCATAGCTAAAAAATTGACAGTAATTCCTTAATATCTGCTAGTGGTCCTGTTTCCATAGTTGTCTCATAAAAGATTTGTAAATTTGGGTTCTTTGAAATCAGGATCCCAAAATATCCACACCTTGGGTTGACATGTCTTTAAGTTTCTTTTGATACATTTTAATCTATACATTTTCAATCCCCTTTTAAATTTTACTCCTTGCAGTCTGTTTCCCACATTTGGAATTTTGCAGAATTTTACCCAGAGTTGTCTTTTCACACTTTCCTTAGTCTTCTGTATTTCCTTTGAATTGTTTTACAATAAAAGAGATCCATTCAAGTTCAGATTTATATTTTTTTCTTGGTAATAATATATTAGAGAATATATTGTGCTCTTCCATAGGGCAGCCTATGGTGCCTGCTGTCTCTCTTTTGGTAAACTTAAGATCAGTGGGTTTAGGTACTATTGTCTTGATCTGTCCACCATTAAATATCCCACCAGCCTTTTTCCACTAATGCTTTTTGTAGCCATAGGTGATCATTTAGCTTAAATCCATTACTTAATTTGTAGTTGTAAAATGGTGATTGTATCATCCCTTTTGCATTTATTAGATAGAGTATGTCTATAAAGAGAAAATTCTCATAAGCATTACCCTTTATGAGATTTTATGCAGGTGGTCTTTAGGCTGCATATTAAGAAAAAAATTACTCTGGGGATTTGGAGAAATAAAAGACCAGGTGAGGTCTCATGGAATAGTGACGTTTAATTTGTGCATTTACACATGCATTTACACATGCATAAGTAGATGTAGGTGTTTACACATGCATAAGTAGATGTAATAATAAAGGCTAGATGGGATAGCATTCTTGACAATGGAAATACAGTATAAGAAGTTAAGGTGAGGAAATGGAGGAACACAAGGCATCCTTTAAGACCTGTAGGAAGTACTGGACTACCAGGGGTGAATTCCCTACAGGTCTGCATGCCACAGCTTCCCTTGTACTGTAGAATGCTGCCTAATCAGTTTCTTTTTTTAAACTACTTTTTTCAATCTTATTTCCATTGTCTCCCCAACATGTTGATAAAACAATCTTTCTCAATCTTCTATTCCATCTATATGTCAATTTCTGGTTTGTTTCCTTGTTTGTTTTTAGACTTACTGTCATGCTAACTTCCCTGTGCATGCTCCTTCATCAAACTATGATTGAGTTTCTATTGTGTGCTACTGTGCTAGTTGTCGAAAATGAACAAATTTGGTTCCTACCTTCAGGGAGCTCATCATCTAATTGAGGAGACAGACAAGTCAATGGACCTTATGATATATCGATTTAAATGTTGCAGGAATTATATACTTAGAATACTTAAAAGAGAGCATACAAAACTGATTTCAGAAAGAAGAGAAGACAAGTGGGCTGGATTTCTCTCATTCTTCATTTTGCATTCCCATTTCCATCATTCATAATTAATCTCTTTCCTGAATCATTCCTAGGTCTTCTAACTGGGCTCCCTGAATACCTCTGGTATTTTCCTTCCTCCGCACCAATTTACCCACTCATGGTCAGATAAATCTTTCCAGACTACCATATCTATACTATATCTAAACCATATCTACTACCTTATCTATACCATATCACTCCCATCTTAGGGAATCTTCAATTGTTGACAGCTGACTGAACTTCTTCGCCTGTCATTCAAAACCTCCACAATCTGGCTTTTGCCTCCATTTCCAGATTTATCTCCTGCAACTCCAGACTTTCCCTACACTTTCTCAAAAGATGTCTTATGCTTTCCCACATGCTCATCTTGGCTCATAATCTCCCCTCTGCCTGGGATGCCCTCTCATCTTGTGGCTGTATTTCAGCATGCACTTCTGCATATTTAATGCATAGATTGACAGCTTG